CCCCCACACCCATGTAAGGCATTTTTATGGATGCGTAACCCGAATACCACCACACTTGTCATGATGTGGTCCCCGTGTGGGTCTAGCGCATCTACTGCGTGGGCCGTTCGAAGAAATATGCATTCTTGAAGTAGACATGTTAGCATCAATTGAATAGATTATTCTGACCACGACCAATGGCAGATCGGCTGTCTTTTGACCTTTCGAAGCGGCTGCCAATCCGACCAACTCATTGTAGTAGCTGAAATAGTAAATGGAAGCAGACTTGTTTCCCACTCCTAACTTTTAACTACATATTGGAACGAGTATTGATAGCATATTCGAGACTTCTTTCTGTGTTTTCCTAAAATTTCCAAACTGATAATTGGTCTAATTGCTTTGTATCTTCCCGAATTCTGAAGATGATTTTGATCGAATATTTACACAGAACCTGAAAGAACTGGGCATCAAGGTTTCCAAGCTTCCGGTTACGCCATACACTGCTCCGGAGTTTCTTCGGCTGCTGCTCGTTCGCGAATTATCTCACGGTTTCACCTCCACTCGAGACAGGACTATGGCCTTCCTGCGCTCTGTGGGTGTACATACCAAGGATGAATTTGAAGTTGATTCCACAGTAAGGCACCCTTTCGCACACATTGGCGGGTGTTTTTTTCAAATTGATCATTAAATCAGGTACATAATAGTTCCACGCCTACACCAATGGCAAAAAGTGAAGGTGAATCCGAGAGCTCAAACCCTCAAATCGCTACTGCAAGTTCTTACTTTGTCGGAGTTTAAGATCAACGTCTTATATCTTACGAAGATATCTTTCATCAGTCATCAGTATTTAAAATACAGGTCTACTGTATGTGGCCACTAAAATAAAGCTAAGTCATCTTTGTGATTTTTGAAAACTTGATCATATCTCATATTTAGAACTCATTTTTAGTATCATTCTTGAGTTAACCCCGAGCGCTAAGGTAAATTAAATATGTAGGCTGTGTTGTGGGTAAGATGTACATAAGCAGCCCAGCTAGTACTGAAGCTTGCCCGAATTAGCTGAGACCACACATTGCTTATCAGAAACCACGTAAGACTTAACGTTATGTGAAGTTAAAAGCAGTACCTACATTTCTGTGTACAACAATTCTTTCACAAAACTTTTTGCCTCCTGGTGATAATAGAAGGTCCAAAGCTGGTCGACAGTCAAAGGACCGTAAGCGGTCAACGCGTCCATGGTTCAACTGCACACAGCGTGTCGAAAATATAATGCAAATCTTTAAGGCGCACTTACAGTCGTTATCGAGACTATAAAACATGACGTTAATCTTTGAATTGTTGGCTATCAAGTTTATCACTAAAACCAGAGTTGGCGGTTCCTCTTCTTATATCCTCTCTTGTATAAAATATTCAAATTTTTCGGGAACGGTTTGGTAGGGTTGTTCCTCAATCCCCGAAGCTTTCTTTTCCCGTACTTTAATGTATGTCTTAACCTACTTACTTGAGTCCCGTCTCTCCCGTGCGCATCTAGGTCCCAACGCCGGGAACTGTCAGTCTGGCCAACAAGCTCTCTTCCTTCGATATCTTTGCTCTGGATGCCGAACACAAAATTCTCCTGCTTGAGCTTCTGATAGAGCGCCTGCTCGACGTGGATTCGATTGACGATTACATGCATTCGACCGACCGCAAAGCAACAAATGCTTACAACAAGCGCCTTGCTGCCGAGCGTAATAGGCGGAAACTACTGCCAAACCTTCAAAACAAGAAGGAAACCGGAGGCGAGGACACTGGCGGTGAGTAGTTTCGTCACGCATGGTCTGGTTTACTTTTTCGTTCCGTTCCATGCTTACCAACGCGTCTTCTGATCATCCAGTGTTTTAAGCAAATGACTAGCAACCCTAGCCTGAAAAAAAGTCATTTAAGTCAAATTTTGTTATTTCTACTGGTCATGTTAGAACGTCTACTGACCCGCGTTGGTTTGTTTGACATCCAGGGGAACCCAAAAGTCAGTGTTTGTCAGAAGATGCTGATTTTGACCTCACCGCCTCCCAACTATCATCTTCTGCTCACCTGTACCCTATAGCTGAAACCAATAGTGATGCTGACATGGACGACCTGGCTTCCGTAGTCAAACGAAGACGCCAGTTAGCTGCTCAAGCCGCGTCAGAACGAGAACATAAGGAGGCACTAGAGCGTGAACGTCGCGAGTTGGAAGCTCAGCTGCTGGCAGAAAACAAGGCAGCTGCCCGGGCCACACAAGAGTACTACGCTGCTGCTCTTGAGGCCCGCATCGCTCGCCGCATCACACCCCTTGGTGTGGATAGGCAAAACCGTCGTTACTGGCATTTCTTCTGTGCCCCACATATGCTCTTCCTCGAGGCGGACTGTGCAGCTGATGAGAATTCTCAGAAGCCTAAAACACCACTCAAAGGTGAGTATTTCTGCCCCCCCCGCCCCTTCTTAGTGCTGTTGATGCTGATTTCCTGCTGAAAGTCAGCCACACACGTGCGCTTTCACTGCACATCTGCTTCCCTTACAGTCTCCGACGCCCTCCCCGATTCCACCGCTCAAGTGGATAAGGCAAGCACATCACTTCCTACCTCACCGCGTCGCACTTCCAACCACACGGCAGCCCTCGAACTGGCTAACTTGCTTGGCTCCGCCTCCAACAGTCGTTGGTTCGTATTCGATCAGAGTGAACAGTTGGACCATCTCAACGACAGTCTAATGACTCGTGGATATCGCGAGGGTCCATTGAAGAAAGAGCTCTCGCAAAACAATGTACTCAGCACTGTAAAGGAGCTTTTAGAGGGCATAAGTAGCGTGCAGAAGGGCAAGCCAGCGCAGGAGGAACTATCACCGAAATCCGGCAAAGGGTAAGTGCTATTTGCTTTCATGATTTGATGTACTTTACATTCTGGCTCCCGGTCGAACACGTATATGCGACCCGCGATGACAAAGACGTCCAGTGCATAGATGTAGCCTTGACCAGTTCACTCAGAGCTACTACAGTTCTGTTGTTCAGAGTTAACAACGAGGACGGTGCGACCGTCGGACAAACGCGGTGACTTGCGCGTGAATTGGATTACAGTGAGAGTAGAATTGTGTTGCATCTACCGCACACTCCCCCTCCTCCCTCACCTGGGTCCGGTACCATGACTAAGTCAGGAGAAGAAAA